AACACCTTGCTGATTATTTCATAAGTTACACCCGCCAGGAAACGTTCCTGGCCGCACACGAATAAAGCGTGGAGTCAGCGCTGAAGCAAATGACCTTCGCTCCAAACATTTACTCAACAGCCACTCACACTCTCACTGGCGTATTTTAAATAATTACTTGCCCCAAGGAGAGTGAAACACACTGAATCTAATCCTCCAGTGAAGCGTTTTGGCAGATAATTGAACCTGAAGCATCGGCTCCTTCGTTCCGCCCACACTTGCGGGTCGTCTCCTCCAAAGGGCCCGACCGGGCCACGGCGGGTGTGAGTGCAAACCGTCCTTGCAAACAACCACACACAGTGTGAGGACGGGACACAAAGCTGCAGCTGGAAGGGAGGTGTGGTTCCAGGAAGTTTCTTTTAGGATCACAGGGGAGGGGAGGAAGGGGAGAGATTCCACGGGGAAGAGATCGATGGCCAGTGAAGCCGCGACAGCATGATCTGTGACGCTGCCCATGCAGGTGCGGCCAGGCAGCCAGCCTTGTCGTGTGGCCTCATGCGGCCGCCCTCAGGGCCACAGAGCCTGCTGCTCTCCGGGGAATGTCCCCGACAGTAGGGACTATAGAGGGTGGAAGGAGGCTCGGGGTTCCCACTAAGATAGGAAAGTGGGGGAGACTTGAAGGGGCTACAGTCCTCTCAGTCCATCTCATCTGGGCTGTGACGCAGCTAAGTCACCAGGGACCTTTCATGGCAACCAAGGCAAGTTTCCAGGGTCCCAGCAGCCAGCAGCCCAGGGACCGCTGCCTCCCCATGAAATGTGGGCCTCGTGTGGGAGCCAAGCCTGGGAGCCCAAGTGCCACCATGTGGCCCTCCTCCCTCCTTCTGGAAAACCAGAGCTGGCTGGTGGTTCAGGTTCTCTCTGAGGGCGGTTATAATACGGGAAAGACACCGAGGGTGGAACCAGGCTCGATTCGCATCCAGCGTGGGAAAGTGGGCGTGCGCAGTGGAAGATCCACGTGTGGGGTCGGTGGACGGAGAGTTACCACAGGGACACACCAGGGTTTGGGGGAGATTCCAGCCAGACCGACCTGGGGATTCTTGCTGCATGCACACCAGGGTGAGGCGGCACCATGAGACAGCAAGGATGCAGCCTCCCTCTAACCTGACTCAGCACGGTTCTCCCCACGACTGGCCCAGGCAGGCCAGTGGGGGTGCCAAGGTCAAAGCCCGGAGGGCTTGGCTGGACTGCCTGCAGTTAGGTCAGGAGGCCCTCTCGCCATCTTGTGCTGCCAGCGGAAGGTGCATTTGCTTTCTTTGCCAAGAGTCACAGTGCAGTCTTCCAGCCCCAGGACACAGCAGAATCACCCCAGTCTGCCCCGTTTTGGCCAACAGTAGCAATCAGGGTCCCCAGCACTGGTGGCAGCTGTGAGTGAAAGACGAGTCGTGGCCTTAGAGAGGCACCTTGTGGGACAGCCCACACGGAGCACCAGTCGGAGCTGGGAGGGTTCTCAGCTCCTTCCTCTTCCGGGCTCCTGTCCCAGGTATTAGTGTCTCCTGTTAAGGCTTGTGTGACCACTGCACAGGCTCTCCTCTTGGGGAAAAACAAAGTCATGAAATGCAGATAATAATTCTTTCCTTGTTTGAGAAAAGGGTGACAAGAAGTCTTATCTAGTTCAACAAAATGTAAAGTGCTCCACTCACAAAAGCCAATCCGTGGCAACGCTTGGGCATTTGAATTCAGGCGGACAGTGCAGAGCAGACAAATTCTGTGCCCGAGGGCTGCCCAAGCACCACAGCACCTAATATTCTGGGAAGGAGTGGCCGTCCCGGGGCCAAGCAGAGGGGCGCTAGAGAGGCTGTGTTTATTGTCACCATCCGGTGAAGCCCGGGATGCCACACATCCTCCCAGCCAAGGCGAGGAGAAGGGTTAGGGCATGCATTGGAACCCCAAGCTTTCTGGTACCACTGTGGTGGGAACCTCCTCAAGTCACAGAGCTGATCAGGTGTTGATACAAAACTTGAACTACATCCTTCTGGTTACAGATTGCATGTATTTTTATTTCGCCCTCCTGCCCTGCCCCCATGGCATCACATAGCAAGTGTGATTTCATTTCGTCCAGATGGAGGCTTCAATGGCAAAACCTGAAACGACGCCACGTGCAGCACAGACCTGGTGAGGACCGGTGGGTGTGGGCAGGTGGCACCAGACCTGGGGCGCCACGGGAAGGTCTGCCGTACCCTCACAGGAACGCGCGGGTAGCCGTGCCGAGTCTATTCTTCGTGAGGGTGACTGTCATTTAGGAGTGAGCCCACCGGAATGTGGGCACCTGTGCAGGCCTGGGGGCGCTCGAGCTCCATGAAGATTCGGGGCTCTGGCACCATGTGGCCGGGCTCAGCAGCATCTGCACGTCTCGCCTGGGCTGCGTCCTGGGGGAGTTACGCAACCTCTTTGGGCATCAACCTCCTACTATTTTATAAACGAGTCAGCCTTCACGTCCTACCTGCTGAGTCCGACATGACTGAATGCACAAAGCACACGAAGCCTCAGAGCGTGCATGTGGCACACAGTGGGTGCACACCTGCTTTCGGTTATCACATGAGAATGGTTGTCTATCATGAGAGCTTCCTTAAGACACATCAAATGACGAATGCTTCTGATCACAGACCATTGGCAACAATGGCTTAAAAAAAGGATATGAGCTCATCCTCAAAATGAACTCAAAATTTGAAACAGAACCAAGTTAAGCTGAATTTCTGAGCACAGAAGAACATTCTACAGTTGACTTCAATATGGAAAGTGCATGTGGGAAGAGGCACAGTGTGAGGGCTTCCACTCTGTCTGCATGAGGAAAACCAAAAACAAGAACAGATGGAGGTTATTTGACTCTTTAAGGAAAAAGTCAGTGGTCAATGGATGTGCCCACATGCTAGAGCCCTACAGGGGAAGCCACCATCCTAGGGCCTAGAGCCAGGGAAGAGGGGAGAGGAGGGGCCCACGACCACTGCCCTCCACCTCACTGCCATCAGTGTGGGGGACACACCCAGGGTTTTGCTTGAGCAAAGTGTACGACAATTTTAAAAATGAGTCACAAAACATTTTACCAAATAACCCCTAGATTTCTTACTATAGGAGCCTTATTAAACCACTGTTGTGGTTTCCTGAATTCACCTGGGGTCTCCTGTCCTGTCACTGTGGCTCGGAGTGGGCCAGGGGATCCCTGGCCGGAAGCACCAGAGCAGAGGTGACCATCTCCGCACCCCAGGAAGCGTCGCCGCGCATGAGCCGGGAGCTCCTGCTTCACCTTGGCTGGAAAAGCACAGCCTCTCTTCCCACCCGTCCCAGGAAATACTGCCTTTCCGGATATCCCTTGGCTCCGCAGGCATCAGGAGTCCTGGTGAAAGAGACAATTTGCTCTCTTGTGAGAAGGTCTCTCGCTTTTCTGCGTGCACTCCTGCACTACTCCACCGAATCGACAGGGCGGGGTACCAATGAGCTCCTACCATCACGCGCCGGGCGTGTGCATGAGCATCTCTCTGGTGCCCAGGGTAATGTCAGGGGCACTTCTTACAGAGTAGGGGTTTATAAAGCCCATGGAACCCTGTGGAATCAAACTGCCTTGGCAGGAAAGAAGAGAGCCAACCACCAAAGAGGAAGGAGCGGAGATACAGTGTGGATATCCCGTCCACTCTGCCTGTCAAGGTCATGGTCTCAGGGAAGGCAGTTAGCTTGCCAGAGGGAGAAGCCATTGGACTAGGGCCCTGGAGGACCAGAAGGTGTTCATATGCAGGACAGAGGTATTAATCACATTTCCATGGATGTGGTTGCTTAGAATGAGGTTACGGTTTTAAAGGGATTGCATCATGAAAAGCAGAAACACAAGGTTAAGGTGGGTGCAGAGATCTGACAAACGTCCGGGAGTAGGAGCGAAGGTTGACCAAGGTCAGGACACACCGGGCCAGACTGACCCTCCAGGGTCTCCTCCCCCGGTCCTCCAGGGACATGGATGTCTGTGTCTTCTCTGTGATGATGTCACAGCACAAACCCGAGGTCCCGTGGAGAACTGACTGACCCACTTCTCGGTTCTCCTCCCAGAGGCTGGGGCAGAGCAGACACTATGTAAGAGACTGGAATGGAGACACGCGTATGTGATGGGATCAATGATCACAGCCACATGCGTGAAACGTGTTCAACTGTCCAGGAGCAGCCCGTGGCAGGCACACAGACTTGCCACGGGTCCTTGTGATGTGGCTCCACCCATGGCCTCCACACAGCCGTCCAGATGCGTCCCAGGGAACCAGACGAGGCAGGGCTGGGGCGACGTGGTGAATTGTAGCCCCCATTCCGTGGGCTGGACAGCCTAATTATCGGCAGCCTCACTGCAGGCTGACCTGTGATTCAGAGAGGACATGAAGAAGCTTAAAAACACAGGGGGAAATGCTTTGTAAATTTTCCATTTACCAAGGCTTTTCCAGCCAGTGACCCCCAGAGTGGGTCTTGCCGGGGAGAAGAGAAGGAGAGAAGGAGCGGAGCACGCACAGCCTGTCTTCCCTCCGTCTGCAGGGCAGTACACGCTGAGCCCTGCACCTGTAGACCAGTGGGATCAAGTCGTGACGTTCACTTTTCTGAAAGTCCGTACACCGCTCTGTAGGTTGTACATTGTAGTGTAGATAGTAAGGGCCTTGCTTAAGAGAGCAGAGAATTAATAAGAGAACTCAATTGTGTGGGAGAAGGCGTGTCTCTTTGTTGATGTCCTGTTGGGTCATAATGATAAGATTGTAAAGACAGAAGAAAAGATTAAAGGTTAACCTGCTTTATGTCACAATTTTTGAAAGCTGAGACCACATGTTACAAATGAAGAGCATGTAACTCTTCTGGGCAGATGTGAATCAGATAGGCTTTGGTTTTGTGGGGGCTGTGAGGACCCTACAAAAGGGGGTGCCTGCAGGCAGGCACCCTGGAGCAGCAGCAGGTGAGGGGCATCGAAGGCCTTCAGCAGAGAGCGGAGAACGACACGGGTCGGCATGCCCAGACTTCCTCTGCTGCTGCTGCTCTGGGGCGTGGGCCCTCACGTCTTCACGGCGCTTGCTCAGAAACGAGCAAGATGCGGAGATGGTCCGGGTAAATGCTGATTTCCACATGCCATTCTCATGTTTCCAAGGTCGAGGGCTAGAAACTCAAGCAAGTTTGGGGTTCATTCTACAGTAACTACTTTCTCTGAAACAGACTCCCTTATAACAAAAAGAAAAATCTGCTCACTCATCTGTAGATATTTCTTTGGAACATAGAGGGAAACAGAAAGAGAGAGTCCTGACTTCACAGTGTTATTGTTAGTAAGCCTAATAAAGGCTGTGAAATCATTGCAGATGCAGACAGGGTTTGTTTTTTTTTCTCCCTCTTTGCACTAAGTCTTCAAGACAAAAGAACATCTCTATCCACACAGTGAAATCCTGAAAATTTTCAGGAAAAAATGAGAAAGGTTTCACACCTCGTGTTTTGATATTCTCTTTATCAGGAATACCTACAAAAGTACTACAACTTGAAGATTAGAACTAACAAATCCGAAAGGCAGAGAAACAGCGGCTTAGTGGTTGAAAAGCTGAAGGAAATGCAGAAATTCTTTGGGCTGAAGGTCACTGGGCTGCCAGACACTGAAACCCTGAGCGTGATGCAGCAGGCCAGGTGTGGGGTGCCCGACGTGGCTCAGTACGTCCTCACTGACGGGAACCCTCGGTGGGAGCACACACACCTGACCTACAGGTAACCAGAAGGGGCCCCAGAGTGAGGACTCTGTTCCCCATCAGAGCCCTGAGAAAGGAGGTCCGATATGTCTCTGTTTTATTTCATGTGAAGGATCGAAAATTACACACCAGATCTGCCAAGAGCAGAGGTGGACGATGCCATTGACAAAGCCTTTCAACTCTGGAGTAACGCCACCGTCCTGACCTTCACCAAGCTCTCCGAGGGTCAGGCAGACATAGTGCTATCCTTTGTCTGGGGAGGTAAGCCCGGCTTGTCTCCCAAACCCATTCTGCACTTCACCTTCCACGGCTCCCAGACCTGCCCTGCTGGGCTGAGGGTTCTATGGAAGGGTGTTGATTTTATGGGCCAAAGAAGGGAAGATTCATAGACAAAGAATAGCTTTGAGCTCCTGGTCACTGCGCTCGCCTCCCCAGGGAAGCCAGACGTAATGGGGGTCTGTACCTGCTGCTCTGCCCTCCACAGATCACGGCGATAACTCCCACTTTGGGGGACCCAGAAGCCCGCTTGCTCATGCTTTCCCACCAGGAAGAGGCATTGGAGGAGATGTGCATTTTGATGAAGAAAAAACATGGACCAATGACTTCAGAAGTGAGACCACAAGTTCTTCCTATTTCCCCCTTTCATGGGTCAATGATTTCTTTTGAAGAATGCCTTTAGTAAAGTGAGCCAGCTTTGTGATCAGTCTTAAATACTTTAGTAAACGTAAGCTTTTATTAAAACTATAATAGTTGCTTAGAAAGCTAATGGTAACTCTGGTCTCATTTATTTAAAAATGTAAGGGAATATTGGGGCACCTGGGTGGCTCAGTCGGTTAAGTGTCCGACTTCGGCTCAGGTCATCATCTCACGGTTCATGGGTTCGAGCCCCACGTCGGACTCTGTGCTGATGGCTCAGAGCCTGGAGCTGCTTCGGATTCTGTGTCTCCCTCTCTCTCTGACCCTCCCCTGCTCACGCTCTCACTCACTCTCTCTCTCTCAGAAATAAGTAAAATATTAAAAAGAATTTTAAATGTAAGGGAATATTATTTCTGCAAGTGATACCATTTTACCAACAAAAATACGTTACTTTAAAAATGTTCCTAGATGGGGCGCCTGGGTGGCTTAGTCGGTTAAGCGTCCAACTTTCGCTTAGGTCATGATCTCGCGGTTCGTGGGTTCGAGCCCCGCGTCGGGCTCTATGCTGACTCCCAGCTCAGAGCCTGGAGCCTGTTTCAGTCTGTGACTCCCTCTCTCTCTGACCCTCCCCTGCTCATGCTGTCTCTCTCTCTCCTAGAAATAAAAAAAAAAAAATTTTTAAAAAATAAAAATAAAAAAAAATAAAAATGTTGCTAGGTTGTTTTAAATCACACTGTCACATATATAATTATATACCAAAATTTTAAAGGGTTATTTTTGGTAAAGTGATTTGGGGGAATTTTTCTTGGTACTTTGCTGTGTTATCTGCATTTTCAGAAGTAGGCATAATGTAAGATTTATGAGCAGAAAAAAAATAATAACTGTCCATAGAATCCTATTATTCCTCTAGAATATAGCACTTTCTACCTTATTTTATGATATTTATTAATCAACGGGGTTTTTCTTTGCCAGCTGAGTTTCTTCCAGGAATTATACTAGTTCAATCTCAGAAATTCAAACTTGAATCAGCCCACCTAAATTATTAAGACATTCCCCTTTCTTTAATTAAATGCACACACACACACACACACACACACACACACACATACCCCACACAGACTCCACCAGATACAAACCAAAACTGCACAAAGAAAGTCACCAGTAAAGCTTCTGAGGTATGGATGTTTATATTTCCCTCTTGGGCTCCTCAAAACTGCATTCCAATAATCGCAAACATGTTTTATTGGTCTTTTTAGACTTCAACTTGTATTATGTTGCTGCACATGAAGTGGGCCACGCCCTTGGACTAGGCCATATTGATGATCTTGGCTCTCTAATGTTCTCCAGTTACCTCTACTATGGTGATGTCCTGCTGTCTCAAAAGGACCTCAGTGCCATCCAGGCCATCTACGGTGAGCACAAAGTGACACGTGCTGACGGCCAGCTCAGAGCCTGGAGCCTGCTTTGGATTCTGTGACTCCCTCTCTCTCTGACCCTCCCCTGCTCACACTGCCTCTCTCTCTCAGAAATAAATAAAACATTTAAAAAAATTTTTTTAATGCTGGACAATTAGGGATCTAGATAATGGGTTTCAAATAAACAGCTATGTCCTTTAAGAAAGAACCTTCCTTCTGTAGGGCAGCTGGGTGGCTCAGTCACTTGACCATCTGACTCTTGATTGTGGCTCAGGTCATGATCTCAGGGCAGTGGGATCAAGCCCTGTGTTGGGCTCCATGATGAGTACAGAGCCTGTTTGTTTCTCTCTAGCACATGCGTGCTTTTGCTCTGTCTAAAATAAAAAAATAGAGCCTTCATTTTAAATGTTTTTGTGTTCACATAATATGTCAACTTAACTTTCTTCAGGAGCTCTATTTATTTTTTAGGATCCTCCAAAAATCCCATCCAACCAAAAGAACCACCAATACCACGAGCCTGTGATAGCAAGCTAACATTTGACGCTGTGACCAAAATTCGCGGAGAATCATTCTTCTTTAAAAATTGGTAAAAAAAAAAAAAGAAAAGAAAAGAAAAAGAAACAAAGAAAGAAATCATTCACACTGACTTATGTTTTTAAATTGTTCTGACATTTTTGTTGAATATTCTATATGTTTCTTTATCAGTATGTTTTTAATTGGTCATTTTAATAGTAGTGCATTGGCATGAAATGATTTGTTCTTCAAAAATTTTTATCACAGATAAGGGGCACCTAGCTGGCTCAGCCAGAAGAGCCTATGATGCTTGACCTCAGGGTCATGAGTCAAGCCCCACGCTGGGTATAGAAATTACTTGGAAGGAAGGAAGGAAGGAAGGAAGGAAGGAAGGAAGGAAGGAAGGAAGGAAGGAAGGAAGGAAGGAGGGAAGGAGGGAAGGAAGGAAGGAAGAAAGGAAGGAAGGAAGGAAAAGAAAGAGAAAGAAAGAAAAACAAAATTTTATCACAGATAAATCATTCAATCGCCAGAAAATTCATAAAGTGAAAGGCATTGTAGGGCTTCCACTCGACACTAGCACACATGCAAGTATGTGGAGTTAGGCAGACAGATCACAGGCTTGTCAGTAATGGAGCAAGAGATGGTCTTCCAACTCCTTTCAGGTTGCCGCTGTCTGGGATGATAAATGTGTTAGGAGTTAGAACAAATAGGGGCTTCTGAACACCGCTGTTCACATCACGTCTCTCCACCAGGCTGAGGGCAGTGTAGCCTCGGGCCCAGAAAGGAAGGCCCAGGAGACCTCAGGGGCTGGAGGTACTGACGGGCATGAGTGCTGACGCCGCAGGGGCCTTGGTGGCGGCTCCCGGGGCTGTGTCTGCTAGGAGGCTGACAAGGAAGGTTCTCTCCTGGGGCGTGAGCCTTCTGATCCTTCCCAAGGCTGGTGGCTCATTCTGCACGTCCGTTCGGTCTCTGCGGTCTTGGGAACCCTTTGGCCAGCCCATGTAGGAGCCTGGGCTGAGCTGTTACAAACGGAAAATCCTAAAATGGAGAAGTTTGGTCAGCCGCTCACACCTCCGTCAGCCTCCTCGGTCAGCCTGGTCTCCGTGTGTCATCTGCTGGCACGTAGGGCTCCTGTGAATGAGACCCCGTAGGCAGAGGGCCCGGCATGTGGGGGCTCGAATGATTCGTGTCCGGGGAGAAGAGCTGGAAAGCAACCGAGGCTGCTGCACTACAGTCTTCTCCCTTCTTCTGAATCAGGTTCTTCCTACGCACAGGCGTCTTCTACAAAGCAGTCAATGTCATTTCTGACTTCTGGGAATCACTGTTAAATGGAGCAGACGCTGCTTATGAAATTGCCAGCAGAGATGAAGTTTTATTTTTTAAAGGTAAAGCTTCTGGGGGATTCTTCGTTGTTGGTTTTATGAGGTATATTTTTCATTAAGTTGGTTGGGTTTTTGTTTTTTTTTTTGGTTGAAAGCCAAGGGGGCCATTTAAATAAGTCAAGAATCTTGAAACGGCTCTAACGTGTGTGAAGAAAATAAGGAGGACTTGCACACACGTGAGGTCTCAGAGTGCCCGTGGGTGAGGTGGGACGTGTTTGTGCCGATACTCCAGCATCACAACGTGAGGTGGACTGATGTACTGCAGGAGCTAAGCGCGCAAATACCAAATCCTTTGCCAGGAACTGAGAGGTGCCTTCCAGGGAGGTGAGGGGACGTGCCGCGCCCACAGGGCCCCGTGAGCCCCCCCCCCCCCCCCCCCCGCACTCCCTGTGCAGCTGGGGAAGCCCGCCCGCCACACTCAGGGAAATGCCTGGCTCGAGGGCACCTCACTTCGGGACGAAGGCCGTGTCCACCTCTTGTGAACGAGTGTCTGCAGAAAAGCCTGCCTACTGTCCCCAGAGCCCCCCGCAAAGTGTTTTCATAGTCGATTTTTCGGCTGACAGGTGATAAATACTGGGCGTATAAGGAGCGCCAGACGCCGTCCGGATATCCCAGAGAGCCTGCAGCTCGTCGGGCTTCCCCAAATGGGTGAAGAAAATCGACGCCGCCGTTCACGAGGAGGAGACTGGGAAGACGTACTTCTGTGTTGCCAACAAGCACTGGAGGTAAACACAGACAGGGAGTCGGGTCCCTCAGCAGCAGGAGAGCTGCCTTTCTAAGAAATTTCTCAAACCGTGCCGAACCTCCATCCGCCCTTGGTGGACGGACACAGCCGGGCCAAGGGTCAGTTAGTCCCCTGTCTGCTATCATCAAGCCACATCTGTCCTTGGAAGGCGAAGGACTTGTAGGGTGGAGTTTAAAAAGGTGATAAAAAGCAGGAACACCCAAAAGGAACCTTCTTTCCCACAGTGTCTCTCCTTGATAGGGCAGACAATGGAGTCCGAGATGAAATTTGAACCAGATTTCAGAGCTGAAGCTGCTTTCGGAAGGGCCCAGTCTGTCCAGTCTCCCAGAACCCTATTTCTATTAGTTTCATGCCAGCAACGCACCCAATCATAACTGCTTAAAGCGGCCACTGGTTTTCCACAAAATGTAAATAAAAGTAGCCCCCGCCTCTCAGACTTACTGTGAAGGGTGAAAGAATCAGTATACTCAAACCACTCGGAACAGTGACTTAATACCTCATCCTGAGTATTACTTATTGTTATGAATCACACATTCTGAAATTTCTAATAATTGTTTTTACCAGGTATGATGAAAACACGCAGTCCATGGATGCAGGTTTTCCCAAAGAGATAAATCAGGACTTTCCTGGGATTGGCGAAAAAGTTGATGCTGTCTTCCAAGATGGAGGTGAAGACACCCCAGTTTCTCCATTTCATGGCCATAAAATGTATGTCCTGTTGTATGAAATGACAAATGTACTGTTCCTTAGATAGGAAGGCAAATTGCATGTGAGGAAATGTACTTTTTTTTCAAGAGTTCATGTGTAAAATCACCATCTATTTGTCTAATATGATCGTTATCTTTCATTTTAGTCCTAGGATTTTCCTATTTCTTTCATGGGAAAAGGCAGTACAAATTTGATCCTAAAACCAAGCGAATCTTGACTCTCCTGAAAACCAACAGCTGGTTCCACTGCAGAAATATGTGAGGATCGACTATCACAAAGGAGAAAAGAAAAATACCCCTGAGGGGCCCAGGACAGGTGTTTTTCCAAGGACCCCGATATTTCAATGTTTTGTCTTCATCTCTTGGCTGTACTGAGGCGCAGGTGTGTGCAGACAGTCTCATTTAACCTCGACCCAGAGACCATCTGTGTTGGTGAGATTGTCACCTTCCACGATTCCCACAACTTAGCTGCGAGTGAGCGCTGGGGCCTCACGGTTGTGCCCATCCCTAGGGTTACAGGCAGAAAAGCTTTTCGTCAGTATTTTATGATATCTTAAGTAACTGTGCTTCTCATAATAACACGTTCTCAAGTATTATGTCTCTAAGGTTAGGCAAGAGCAGCATGAAGTGTGTGGGAAGATCGGATGTACAGAATTTCAAGCACCTGCCCTTCTCACGCGTAGGCATCACCTGAGGGGCAGGGGCACTTATCGACCCACCTCTCTGGTTTTGGTTGCAAGCTAAGCTTTAAGTCAAATTATGGAAGGGATTGGGGTGCCTGGCTGGCTCAGTCGGTAGAGCACGGCACTCTTGATCTCGGGGTGGTGGGTTCCAGCCCCATGTGAGGCATAGAGCTCACTTTATGAAAAACAAAAATGAGCAGCTTTTTAAAAAATCGTAATAGCGAAAGGGATTTCCTAACTTTTGGATTTGGTAGGTTTATGTATATTCCCCCAGCCTTATTGGACTTATCTCCATCTTCTTGGCGAGAAAGTCCAGAGCCATAAGCTAGTGAATACCCTCAAATTTACTGCAGAAACATGAGTGGGCTGCTTCGGCTGCTGGGCGACATCCTAGCTGTCCTCATGAGGAGAGGAGCTTGTCCCTGAACATTCATCTGATGGCTCCTGTCCTCCAGGGAGCACTCCAGGCAGAGCACTCTGGGCGGGTCACATTATGCAGATACACATTCTCAGAGTCTGATTGCTGCTGAAAATCAATGCTATGCAAATCAGCTCTTCTGCTCACACAACTTATTTCTCATAGGTTTTCTGATGTCACTCTGTGGTCAAGGTACCTCGATTTTATAGTCAATTATTTGTATAACGTTGAATTTTTTTTCTGTTTATCAAGATAATAAATGCATGCTCAGTAATTCTGGGCAAGACGCCAAGCTGGCTGTGGGCTGCTTCCTGTGAATCAGAGCCTCAGAAGTAAGGGGAGGTTGGTGAATTCCAGAATAGACACAAATGGGGAGAAAACCTGAGTGGGAGGGGGGGGGTGGGGGGGGGGGGCGCGTCCAGCGGCGTCCGAGCGGGGGCGGGACTGCGGGAGCGCGTTCCCCCTGGATTGTGGGGGTGGGGGGGCGTCCAGCGGCGTCCGAGCGGGGGCGGGACTGCGGGAGCAAGTTCTGCGGCTGCCCCTTCTCTCCCACTCGCTGCTGGGACCCTGCACCCACACAGCAGGCCCGGGCGGGGCAGGACGAGCGAGAGACCAGGGCTGCGGTCAGGGCAGTGACCGTCTTCCCCACGCAGCGAAGTCTCAGGCCCCACGGGGTCTCGCCCCCTCTGCCCCTCGTGGTCTAGTGTTGCCCCCTGGCTGCCGCACTCCAGCCGCTCTGGCCTCTCGCTCTTTGCGGAGCGCGTGACGTGTGCTCGGACCTCAGCGCCTTTGCGTGCGCGGCTGGGCCCCCCTCCCGCAGCCCCGCTCCGGCGCCCTCCCGCGGGGCCTTCGCTGCTTCCTGGGGCGTCTCGGCGCCCCCTCCGTGCAGACGGGCCCTGGCTGCCCCCCCCTCCGCCCCCGGCTCTGCAGCGGCCGCACGGCCCCCGGCGCCCCCGGCACACCTGCGTCCGGCGCCCCCGGCACACCTGCGTCCGTCCCTGCACGGGAGGCTCCGTGCACAGAGGCCATCCTGAGCTTCTGTGTGATTTTTGTTGTTGCTTTGCGCTCTTTGTCCGTCTTACTGACACAACTCGGGAGGCAAGTAGGCGCGCACCAAAAATTAATAAATTAATACTGAATGGATGCAGGATGCCCGCAAAGCCGGGGCGCCGGTGACAAGGCGCGGGGTGCCCGGCCAGCTCCCGAGGACCCAGCGGCGCGCCCCCGCCGGGACACGCAGCAGCTCCCCAAGTGCCCGGAGCCTGACCCAGAATTTCTGCATGGCTCCTGGCGGGGAGGGTCCTCTGATGAGGCCGGGAAATGAGAGCCGTTGAGGGCACTCTCTCGCCGAACGCCTGCCCAGAGCTGCTCCTCCTCTGTCTTGGTCCAGCTCGCAGAGGGCACGCCGGCACCCAGGCCTTAAATCCACCCGCAGACTCCGGAGGCACCGACAGTTTCATAGAAATACGGGATCACAGGGGAAATGTGCGTTTCTAATATACATCTGACAGAGGACTTTGACCCAGGAGAGATAAAAAGTTCCTACAAATCAATAATAAACTGACAACCCAATTATAAATACGCAAAAGTCTTTTTCGTTTTTAAATTTACATCCAAGTTAGTTAGCATGTAGTGCAATAATGATTTTAGGAGTAGATTCCTTAATGCCCCTTAGCCCATCCCCCCCCAAACACCTCCAGCAACCCTCAGTTTGTCCTCTATATTTAAGAGTGAGTCTCTTATGTTTTGTTCCCCTCCTGTTTTTCTATTATTTTTGCTTCCCTTCCCTTATGTTCATCTGTTTTGTATATTAAATTCTACATATTAGTAAAGTCATATGATATTTGTCTTTCTCTGAGTAATTTTGCTCAGCATAATACACTCTAGTTCCATCCACGTAGTTGTAAATGGCAAGATATCATTTTTTTCATTAGCAATATTCCATTGTGTGTGTGTGTGTATATACATACCACATCTTCTTTATCCACTCATCAGTCAATGGATATTTGGGCTCTTTCCATACTTTGGCTATTAATAGCATTGCTATAAATATTGGGGTGCATGTGCCCCTTCGAAACAGCACACCTGTATCCCTTGGATAAATATCTAGTAGGGCAACTGCTGAGTCATGGAGTAGTTCAACTTTTAATTTTGAGGAATCTCCATACTGTTTTCCAGAGTGGCTACACCAGTCTGCATTCCCACCAGCAGTGTAAAAAAAGTTTCCTCTTTCTCCACATCCTCACCAACATCTGCTGTTGCCCGAATTGTTAATTTTAGCCATTCTGACAGGTGTGAGATGCTATCTCACTGTGGTTTTAATTTGTATTCTCTTGATGATGAGTGATTTTGAATATCTTCTCATGTGTCTGTTGGCCATTTGGATGTCTTCTTTGAAAAAGTGTCTATTCATGTATTTTGTCCATTTCTTCATTGGATTATTTGTTTTTAGGGTGTTGAGTTTGGTAAGTTCTTTATAGATTTTGGATACTAACCCTTTATCTGATATGTCCTTTGAAAATGTCTTCTCCCGTTCCATCGTTTGCCTTTTAGTTTTGCTGATTGTTTCCTTCACTGTGCAGAAGTTTTTATCTCGATGAAGTCCCAATAGTTCATTTTTACTTTTGTTTCCTTTGCCTGCTAAGACATGTCAAGTTGCTCTGGCCAAGGTCAAAGAGGTTGTCGCCTGTTTTCTCCTCTAGGATTTTGATGGCTTCCTGTCTTAACATTTAGGTCTTTCATCCATTTTGAGTTTATTTTTGAAAAATAAACACAAGTCTTAATCAAATCAAACTCTTCATAAAGGAAGACATATAAATGGCCAATAAACACATGAAAAAAGTAAAGTACTTAACATCATTAGTTATCAAGAGAACAAAATTCTTATAAGGTATTACTACAAAACCACTAAAGTTATTAATATGAATGACTGAATATACTAAATGAGGAGCTAGAATATCTATACCTCTCCTACAATATGGAAGTTGCTCACAAATTAAATATTTTCCTACCCTATAGCCTCTTCTACATATTTTCCTGAACTAAATGAAAACACAAACATACAAGAAGCTTGTTTAGGAAAGTTCATAGCAGCATTATGCATGTAGCTCAAATCTGGAAACAGTATATTCACACAGTACAATATCATAGAAAGAGAAGTGTGACTGATCTTCCTAGATCACACACCACCATACAGATTAATCTGAAAACCATTATTCCAGGCAAAAGACTAACTACTTTTGGTTCCATTTGTATGAACTTTATGATTAGGAAAAGTAATCTGTAGGGAAAGAAACAAAAACAGTGATTGCTCTGGGGAAGGGTTAGGATTGGGTGAGAAAGGGCATAGAGAACTTTCTATGATGGAAATGTTCTAGCTCTTCATGCGGGATGGGTTACATGGGCAGGTACGTTTGTAAAATTCACTGAATTATGCACTTAATATTTGTACACTTCACTGTATATCAGTATCTCAAAAATATATAAACAAAAAAGAAACTATCAGACAACTACTAAAACAATTATAAACAGTGATTTGCAAATCTACCCACAAAAACTGGCCCAGATAGTTTTATGGATTTTTTTATTATTATTTTTTTTGTGTGTGTGAAAGATTCATTTCAGGGAACAGATGGCTCCGATCTTACAGAGACTCTTTCAGATAAAACAGTGTATATTCTACTGTCACACACAGCAAATACGGAGAAACTTCAGTCAGTGTCCTATTAAATAAATGCAAATAAGACAGGGCTTTCTGCATCATTGATACTTGGTCTGCATCATTGGTACAGTCTTGGAGACCTGGCCAAAAATTAGGACAAGAAAAAGAACAACAGAAAAAATAAAATAAAATTAACATGGGTATAAGGATCAAAAAGGAAGAGTCCAAATTACCATTATTGGCAGATAATTTGATCACTTACATAGGAAAGCCCAAAAGAATCAAAACTCCTCAGACAAGACAGATATCTCAATGCTCCCATATATAACATCGACATATCAAAGTCACTTTTGTTCCTATACATTCACAATAAACAAGTACATAAAATATAGGAAGTAAAATTCTAATAGCAATAGCAAAACCTATAAATCTATCTAGGAAGCAATCTAGCAAAAACAGAAGACCTCAATAAATAAAATTTTCAGACCCTATTAAAGATAAAACAAGAAAAGCTAAAAAAAGAGAAGAAAAGAAAAAAAAAGAAAAGCTGATGACCTAATACACTAAAGATGACCAATTTTCCCCAAAGTAATTTATAAATGTAATGAAACTTCAATTAAATCCCAATGGGATTATTTAGGAAACTTGAAAACCTCATGTTGAAATTTTTACAAAGGAATTAAAGTGAAGACAGAGAGTCCCCCCAGACATGTTACAAAACCACTCTGGCACTGGGCACGGAACGGACACAGAGCAGAGATAGAAGGAAGTTAAGGGAAGCAAATACGAGTCCAGAAATGCATCCTCGGTGTGACAGAGGTGGCATCACAAACTCGAAGGAAAACAACAGATTATTAAACAACGCCTTGGAGAAGACTGCATGCTCTCTGGGAAGAAATACAGATGGATTCGATCTTTCCTCAGGTGTTCATGATTTATACACGTCGCCACGTATTTCCAGGTTTTTGTCTGCTGGACATGTGGAAGGGCTACACTTTCTAGCCCGTATGCAGTGTTTTGGGGTCAGATCATTAGTTCTGGACAGTGAGTT